GACAGAGACATTAGAGGAAACAAACAGAGAAATTTTGATAAGAGTGGGGGAAGGGAATAGAAAACAATAATTTCAGGAAATACTGACTGCAGTCATAGTTTGAAAGACTTTTTGGTAATAGCAAAAGAGGTAACCCTATAACTATGAAACTAAAAAATCTACCCTGAATTACCCCTATTCCTCTACGCAAAGCCCCCTTCTAAGAATACAGAAAAATGCATCTCACCTACACATGAGCAACAGAAATGTATTGTGGTCAAATCCCATACGAAGCCATTATAAGAAAACGAATTATGAACAGAATCGTGTTCCCACTGATAATGAATGCATTCCATAAAGACAGACCTATAAAACATCTAAAACACTGAAACTGAATATTTCAAAAAAAGCTAAAAGGAATTGGAAGCCAACAGATGCTTTGAAACAATGTATAAGTGAAATTGTTAGACAAAAAAGATTTTTTAAAATAGCTTACAAAAGAAAAAAGTAAATAAAGGAATAAAGGAGTGAATAGACACCATGGATAATATCATAAGGTAAGTAGAGGGGGGAAAGTAGGAAAATAAAGTCAGAAATAAAGAAAAAGATTTTTTTTTAAAGAATGCAAGAAAAAGTGATAGGTATAGAAGATAGACATACAAGAAGATCCAACATACAAACAAGTCCTCAAAAAAGAAATACAAAGCAATGGAAGAGAACAAATACTAAAAATGAATTTTCACCCCTGGAAATATAAGAGAAGACTCAAATTTGCATCTCGAAGAATACCACAAGCCTGGCAAAATCAACAGAGAATAGTGAACATTAAGACATATTCTAATAAAATTACTATTGAACTTTAAAAGGAAAGGAAAAATCTTATTGGTCATTCAGACAAAAAAAGACTAAGTGCTTTAAAAAGGGGAACAAATTAGTGGCATCAGACTTTTCTACAGCAGTACTCTGTGCCAGGAGGCAACCAAGCAACAACATATTCAATATTCTAAAGAAAAGGAAAAAGGAACTAAGGATTTTATATACAGCCAAATTGACTTTCAGGTATGAAAGCCACAGATCAACTATCATGAACATGCAAGAACTCGGGAAATATTATGTCCCTTGAACCTTTACAGAGGAATTTACTAGAAAGCAAGCTACAGGCAAGCAAATTGACTGGAGAGGTGTTAACATAAAGACAGGAGATGAGCATTAAATTTATAGTCTCCTGTAGAACTCACACTAGATAATTGCTCTAAGGGAGATAGCATAATATGTAATGGTTGTATGTTCAGGTAATACAGATACAAGTATTCAAAAACTGAGAGAGAATGGAATGTGTATATGAAAAGTAGAATAAATTCACAGATTGCCTTTATGTATTAGCTGAAAACACATGGCTATATTTTTTTAATTAGATGCTAGTGGAAAGGGAAGGAAGAGAAATAGAGGCTCCTGGCTAATTTCAGTATTCCTCACGGTAGGAAATCAAAAGTGCCAAAGGACGGGAGAGGAGAGGGGAAGACCAAGGGTATTGTATAAAGGTATTCATGTAGTGGTAACCATCAGAATAACAATGGCAGGCTTTTTCCTACAGGGGTAGGGGAGCAAGAGGCAAAAATCATTTGAGGACACATTCCCCTTTCACATGAACCTCTAGGCCTAGCATGTCCCCTCTCATCACTTCTCCAGTGTTTAAAGCTGAGCCTCCTCTCTCCAGTCATCTCTGATGGCCCTGGCACATGGTCAGTCCCGCCCCTCGCCGCCCCCCACACACACACACACATCTAGGACTGGGTACCTTGTTCTCTGTATGTTTTGTATCTCATCTGCAGACAGAGATAGAGTGGTGCTGTGTATAATCGTACAGGGCCACTTTCAGAACCTGGCACAGGGTTTCGCATACAGAAGGTACTCAGTGGTTCATCAGAAATTCAGGACTGATTGAAGGATTTGGGCTTACAGCCTCTGAGTTTTTCTAAGAACTTAGTGATACTATTTTGTGAGCATTCTTTCCATTTGAAGTGACAGCAATACCATTCAAATTCATTTAAGAAAAAGAGGCCTCTGAAATTGAAATGTTCCAGAGTAGGTCTGATTTCAGGTATGGTTGGACCCAGGGACTCACGTCTTATCACTAATCTCAGTCTTTCTTTCTCTACTCTATTCTCTTCTCTGCATTGGCTTTATCCTCAGCAGGCTGTTCTCTTCCCTTGTGGTCAGTGGTGACCGCCAGCAGTTACAAGCTTAATATCTCCAGGAGAAAGGAATGTGTCCCATGTGCAATGGCTCCACTAAAAGTCCCAAGATTGAGTTTCATTGTCTTGGTTTGTATCATATGCTCACCACTGACCCAATCGTTGTAGCCAAGAGAAATGCTTTGATTGGCCAGACACGTGGGTCATGTGACCACCCCTGCAGCTTCTCTGACTGGGGAAGAGGTGGTCTCCGAAAGGAAAATTGGGATGCTGTTACCTGAAAAGTTGGGGGGAGATGGATGCTGCGTGAGCAAAAAACAGAAGATGTGCATTTGAGTATCAACATACTCAGCAAACTGCAAGAAAAATTCTCTGCAAGTGAAAAATCGTGGTTTGGAGGCCCATCCTTGAGGCGTGTGGATGGAAAGCGGTCTTTGGTGTTTTTGAACTCGGTGTTTATTTACCATGTTGTGCTAGGGGACCACTCGCCACGGAGCGCAGTTGCTATGGAGAAACCAGCTTTCCCACATACTTGGGGGCTTCTCTCACTGGCCTGCACCCTCAGCCAGCGGATAGTGAAGAGTCTGGGGAGGAGGACACTCATTTGCAGGAGCATTAAAAACAAGCGTGAGACACAGGGAGCACCGAACATCCCTGGGGGCATCTCCTGTGATCTGGTTTTGTTTCCTGAGTCAGCAGCTGTTTTTTTTTGCTTCTCCATGTGTTTTCCTGGCCTTTGGGATTTGAAGAAAGCACCAGGGACCCCTGCACCTTAGAATTCTCCCTTTTCCAGGCAAAATACATCTATTTTCTCTCTTTTGGGGATTTTATTACCCAACACAGGTCAGTCTTCCCTGGATTTGAGTAAAGAGAATCCACTGAGGTAGCAAACGGGGAAACAGCAGGGGGACTTAAAAACATACCCATTTCTCTCCTAAATCTTTTGACACTTTTTTTTCTGCACTGGACCGTTCCTATCAACATTTACACATGAGCATCCTCTAAGTTTCTACCATTTAAAAAAAAAATTGTTCCCAAATTTTTCTTACCCCTTCACTACTACTCTATGTCCCAACTCCCCTGTAATGCAAAATTTCTTGAAAAAGCTTTTTATATTCCCACTTTGATTTCCTCCTCCTCGTGTTTCAACCCACTCCGATCTGCTGGCCCCCGCACCCCACCCCCAGGCCCAATACTCACACTTCATGAAAGTGCTCTTCCTAAGTTCCCCATTTAGCTCCAAGACACTAACCACAACAACCCTATGTTAGAGGATAAAAATTCATTCCTTAGGCTGAGAAGCAGCATTATGATCTTCTATTTTAATAGCTATTTGTTGAATGATTTAACAAACTCAAGAAAATCCAGGGAAGAGTGGCCTGTACCATGTAATCAAATCCCCAAGAGAAAGGAAATAGAGAGATTTTTCCTGGATCAGGGAGAGTTCTGGGGTTCAGAAGGTACTGGTGCTTGCTTCAGATCTCTAAATGCAACAGAAAGATGTGGGCTGGGTGACCCCAGAACCAGGAGCCCAGGAAGAGAGATTTCCTCTTATTTTAAGAAATGTTTTAATGGTCAGATTTCTCTAAAGAAGAAAGGGGCTGTATCAGGAGATAGTGAGTTCCTTGTCACTGGCAATAATCAAGGAGAAACTATTCTGTCAGAAATACTCAAAAGAAAGGCCTCTTTTGGGTGGGAGTTCACACCCGAAGACGTCTGAAATTCTGGGATTGGTAAAGCATGCTTCTCTAGAGGCAGGTCTCCATGAACGTATTGTATCTGCCACTCCCAGCTGTGTGGTCTTGAGCAAGTTACTCAACCTCTCTGTTCCTCAGTTGCATCAGCTGTAAAAGGTGGCTAATAAAAGCACCCACCACAGAGGGTTGCAGTGAGTATTTGAGTATAGTAATGCATACAGGGCTCAGCACCAGTGCCTGGCCCATTGTAAGTGCTTAATAAACGTTTGCTAGTATTTGTATTTAGTGCAAAGTCCTGTTCGCTAGGTGACACTTGATTCTAAAGTATCAGTCTCATCAGCTGCATTTGGGTTTTAGTTGTGGATTTTTCTTGGTAACTTCTAGGAACTCAAAGAAAGCCCCAGTGGAAAGTGCTAGAGAAGTCACTAATTCCTGTTGTGTATGTCATGTTCTTCACAGTAGTTTTTGTCAAAGGGAACTTAGAGGCTAAGAATGTAGTTGCCATATAGACCACATAAGAAGCCTAAACTGCATCTATTTTGAAAGGTGATAATGATTTGTTGGGCCTTCCCCTCTCCTCCCGTCCCTTCCATGCCAACTCTTATGCCCAAGTCAGATGCCAGTGCTTCCCTCTGGACAGGATCCTGTAGCAATTTTCTCATGGTGGTCTTAATCACAAAGAAGAAAAATCATTCATTCTGGTTTAACCATGTCAGTAAGCATGCTCAGGGTCCCAGGGGCCTATGCTCCTTATTGCATGAATCCTCTCAGAACTCCTGAGATGGAAGCTCGTCCCCGACTTTGCCTGTGAGGAGACTAAGCCTCAGAGAGGGTAAGTAATTTTTCTAAGGTCACACAGCTGGAGTAGGGACCTAAACATTCAAATTCTTGCTATTCTGTGCATTATTATCCATAACCTCTGAAAATTCTGGAATTCAGGATATTAATATTTAATCAAGTGGTCCTCAAGAATAGAACTCCTAAAAACACATTCCTGAGAAGGTTAGGAAGTTTGGTTATGCCTTTGTTGAGTGTTTTTGGAGGGTGGGTGTGGATGGGGAATTTCAGAGAACAGGGACGCCACACATCTGACTTCTCTCTGTGCCAACTCCTTTGTGCCTCCCTGCAGGTCTGGGTAGATGCTGGAACGCAGATCTTTTTCTCCTATGCCATCTGCCTGGGTTGTCTGACTGCTCTGGGAAGTTATAACAATTATAACAACAACTGCTACAGGTGAGCATTTCTCTGGGCCCCACCAGCTCCCCACCAAACCCTGAGAGCCTTACAAGCTGCCAGACTAGTTCACATTTGTCTTCCCACCATGCAGGGCCAGGAGGAGACAGATGGGCTGTTTCTCAGCCTCTCCCTGCCCGAGGGTCAAAGAATGGGCCACCAGAGAAGCTAGAAAAATCACAGATATAATCAGAGTGCATTCCAAGCTGCAAGCGAATGCACTCTGGAATCTTACTCAGGTCCCAACCTTTATGCCAGAGTAAATAAGTGACTTGCCCAAGGTCACACAGCAAATGAGTGGCAATGCTGGGAACCCAGGTCTTCCGACACCAAGGCCCTTGTTCTGCGGCCCTCTGTTGAGACACCTGCTTCCTGCCCCTTCTCACTTGACCATAGGGGTCCTCTCCTGGAGTAGCTGGTGGCCTGCTTGCCCCTCAGCCTGTCGGGCCTCCCTCCCTGGCCACCTGTAGCTGGCCACATCCAACGCCAACACCAGGAGGGCGTCCATGTGGGGAGGTGAGCCCAAGGCCGTCTGACCCTGGCTGCCTGGTTTCCCAGGCCTGCAACTTGAGTTCTACCGCAAGACTGTGACCCACAGAGGGCCAGAGACTTGCTCATCAGGGCATGGTGGAAGAGAAATGTACATCTTGCTCTTAAACTCCAGGCCAATGGTCTGTTCACTGAGGTCTCTGCACTCCTGAGCTCAGTGCATGGTCACAGTAGATGAATATTCAGGAATGGCCAGACAGCACACCTCTTCCATAGAGTCCAAGAGCTCCTTACTCAGGTGTGAACTCATGGAATGATGGCAAGGAAGCCATCCCTGATCACAGATTAATTGAGAAAGGAAGGATTTTTTTCCGCAAATTATTCTGAGACAGGATAAGTATTTGAAGGAAAATAATCAAGGTAGATATTCATACTGTGTCTCACATATGCACCATAGGAGGTGTCAGATTGATTAAAGAATTAAATTTTTTTTAGAAGGAAATCCTCCTAAAACCAGGAATAAAATTCTAGTGTGTGAGATTTTCCACCCACACCAAGCAATTCTCAGACACCAGCTGGGTGTCCTTCAATTCAACTCAATTCTGACACTATCTACCCAGAGATAACATCAGATTCCACAGGCTAGGGGCGGAGTCCTACAAGACTCCCCATCCCCCCTTCAAACACCAGTTGCAAGTCCAAGTTGTCACCTGTACTCCTGACTGACTGACTATAGATTGGAGGTTCCAGGGACACTCCCCCCACTCCTTGGGGGTTGATTAATTTGCTAGAGCAGCTCACAGAACTCAGAGAAACATATTACTCACTAGATTACTGATTTATTATAAAAGGATATAACTCAGGAGCAGCCAGATGGAAGAGATGCATAGGGCAAGGTATGGGGAAAACGGGACGGAGCCTCAATGCCCTCTCTGAGTGTGCCGCTCTCCTGAATTTCCACGTGTTCACCAACCCGGAAGCTCTCTGACTCCCCTCCTTTTGGGTTTTTTTGGAGGTTTCACTACACAGGCATGACTGATTAAATCACTGGCCATTGGTGATAGAACTCAATGTGTAGTGCCTCTCCCCTCCCTGGAGGTCTAGGTATAGGACTGAAAGTCCCAACCCTCTAATTATGTGGTTGGCATTGCCTTCACCACAGGAAATTCCAAGGGTATTAGGAGCTCTTTGCCAGGAACCATGGACAAAGACCAATATACAGTCTTGCGCCACATAACGGTTTCTGTCAACAACAGACTAGCTATGCCACAGTGTGCATATTTAGATAGCCCAGGTGTGCAGTAGGCCGGCCCGTCTAGGTTGGTGTAAGTGCACTCTGTGATGTTTGCACAATGATGAAATCACCTAAGGAGGCATTTCCGGAATGTATGCCTGTCATTAATTGGTACATGACTGTATGTTCCTTATTATAAATCACAATATCATAAAAATATTGATTTCAGAATGGGAAAGGAAGTAAAAAACAACAAAGTAATTACAGAAATCACCAAGGAAGAAAGTGACAGATTAGTCCACATAAGTATCTAGAACTTTTATAAATTTCTGGGAAGAAAACACAGAAAACTTAAAAATGGTCACCTGTAGAAAGTGAGACTGGGACGTCAAAGATAGGAGCCGAGTTTCTTCTCACCTGTATCCTCTTAAACAGTTTCAATGTTTTGTTTTTACTCTGAGTACATACTACATACTGCTTTTATAATTTAAAAATCAAGTTAATACTAATATTATCTACATACTTTTCTGTGTTGTATCTCCCCCCCCAAAAAAAAATTACAAAAATCACCTATAAAATTAAAGGACATGCTAACAACATGTAATGTCTTAAAGAGTTCATGTCCATAATATGTAAAGAATACAAACAGATGGATATGAAAAGCACTAAAACACCGATAGAAAAATAAGCCGCACACTCTTAAAATAATGAAATCGTTTTCCTCAAATAGCAAACTGACCATGGTCTGAAAAATGAACCCTATTTGATGTAGGTGATGGTATAGTGAGAAGGCCACGTCACACTCCACTGGTGGGGACAGGAATTTGGTTGTATGGCTAAAATGGGATCATCAATTGAAAGGACTTTTGTCTGTGATCAAGTCCTTCCCACATTATCATCATCATTGAGATAGGGAAATTGAGGCTGGTGGAAGTGACCCTCCAGCTAGATGTGGTAGAGTCTGGACTCTGGCCAAGGTCTCCCAATCCCCACCCCAGCGCTCTGCAGCACCCTCCCTGAAAGCTAGTTTGGTGAGTACTTTATTAACCTATTTGTCAAGTCAGCCATGTGCGTTGTGTGTCTACCATGAGTCTCAGAAACCAGTACCTCAGGAGACACAGACTGCAATGGCACAGCACCAGTCTACAGTCTGTAAATTAGGGTAACTGAGGAAGTGAAAGTGAAAGGTCCAACATGCTGAAAAGAAAAGCTATTGTGGAATCTAATATGTTACTAGGCAGCAAGTTCTATTGTTTCTGGGGGCCTTTGGGCAGAGAGGTCATTAGGTATGGCTGGACAGAGGCATCCTAGAGAGGTGGAAGGTCAGACCAGGTTGTCATTAAGATCTGTTCTACCTTTATGGCATTCACGGGGAAGTGGTTCTGGGGGATGAGAGGTAAAGCTTTCTGTCAGCCACAATACCAAGTGGTAACCGTGGACAGGAAGAGAAAGGCCCTGGGACGGGGAGCGCAGCACACTCAAATCTAGGTTGAGTGTGATCCCCTTGAGATGTTGGAGAGGGATGCTGTCTGCATACAGCTGTCAGCACAGCAGCAGCCAGCATTCAGCGCAGGCCCTCTGTGCCGGGCGCTGCGGAAATCACCTGGTCACTGCCCATCACCTCCGCTAGGCTGTCAGCTCATGAGGACGTGGGCTGGTCTTGTTCACCACCATCCCTTCAGCCTAGTATAGTGCTGGCTGGCGTGTAAGAAAGCATGGGAGGGCTGTGACATTATGCACATGAAGACACTGAGTCCCAAGGGTAAGTCACTTGCTCGTGTTCACGTTGCCAGTGATAGAAGAAGGCTTTGAACCTGGGCTTTCCTGGCTCCCTGCACCCCGACTCCTCACTCCAGGGATGACCAGCTCTTTCCCAACTACAGCAGTTAGCGAGGAGCTGGCCAGGACTGCCTTGTCGCCAGGCTGTGTCTCGGGGCCGTGGTAACTTTCTTCTCCACCAAGCTCGTGGGTGGATATGCTGGCTGCTGCTTTCCAGTCCAACAGGCAGGCTCCTCCTCCTCCCATCAGCAAAAGAAACCTAACTCCCTAATGACATTGCCAAATCCAAAGCTGGTTTTATTTCCTTTTCCAAATTGTTCCGGAGAGCAGGTCTTCCCAACTCAGAGGGAGTAAATTAGTACCCTCTCTTCTGACAGTATAATCGCTTCTAGAGGTCTTTAAAACTGGCTCAGCTGCTGCCAACTTCAAAGCGCTTGTTACATAAGCTTTTCACCTAGACGGTGCCCTGTGGCGTAGGAATTAGAGGGATGGGGACAGAGCAAACCAGGCAGGAAACTCCTATCTTCAGAAGGCAGATGGCTAAGCTCCATGGGTGTGGGTGCTCTGAGGGCAGGCGTGTGGGACCCAGGGCTGGAAGGGACCTCAGGTTTGCCCAGAGCCTGTCTTTGGTGTGAGAAGCCTCTTGGGAGGCCTCTAGGGAAAGATGGGGACTTTGCAATAAGGGACATTTGTTTTTCAGCAACCCTATGGATGCCCAGAGATAACTGTCCACAAGGCAGGATTTGGAAATCTTGATTCTTAGGGAGCATCCTTTTCGTGCAACTCCCAGAAAAGGTATGGGCTTTAGTGTCTGAGATAAATGGATGCACATCTCACCTTTACCACCAGATGACTGTGGAACCTCGAATGTGTGACACTCCCCCCTGAGCCTCCAGATTCGGTGACACAGCGTTCAAGAAACCCTAGCAGAGAACTAGATACATTGCAGATCTAAATTCTACAGGAGAATTCTCGGATGTAGAGGCTATGGAGAAACACTTTCCTTCTCAGCACCACCTCGTTTCCTGCTGTTAGATAAGTCAGGAAACAGAAGTGAGGAGCCGATTTATCCCAACCTCAGCACTAACTCTGCACTCACCTGAGCTGAGGCGAATTTCCTTTTGAGACGCAGCGTATCACGTTTGCAGAAAAAGCCCTCAGCTCTACCAGCCTGTCCTACGTCTACAGTGCCATAAGAGTGCTTTAAAGGAACCTGCATCAGTCACTCACTGTCACAGTAGTGCTGTGTAACAAACAACCCAGGACTCAGTTACTTACCACAACAAGCATTTGTGTTTATTGCTCCCCCGTCTGCTGGTCAGCTGCGGAAGCTCTACTTCGGGCTGCGGACTGGGTGGGTTTGGCTCCAAGGTCCAGGCCAGGCTTAAGTCTGGTCTATGTGTGTACATTCTGAGGTCTAGGCTGCAGGAACAGCAGCCTCCCTGGGGAACTTTTCCTCATGGGAAATCACAGAAGGGATAAAGGACAAAGCCATTTAAGCCTCTGTTTATATCACATCTGCTATAATAATATCAGTTGGCCAAAGCAAGTCACATGATTAAGCCCGAAGTCAGGGGAGCACAGAGTTATACTCCTCCCCAAGGAAGAAGGTAGAGAGACTACTTGCTGGAAAATGATGTAATCTATCACAGGGCCAAAGATTAAATAGATTTAATCTACCCAAGCATCTTGTCCTATAGCTGTTGAGATCAGGCCCAGAGAAAAGATGCTGCAGGGAGAATTGGAACCCAAGTCCCCTGAGCCCCAGTCTAATGCTGTCTCCACTATGCCCTCGGTTCCCCGATTCCCAGAGTCAATGCAAGACAGCAGGGTATTATAGTCACTAACATTAGTCCCCTGTGCTTGTTTACAAAAGGTATGGTATTGGGTGACGAGGACATGAGAGTCCGACTCTGTTCTTGAGTCTAGTGCTCAGTCCTGGATGTGACATTTGAAGAGTGGCTGGACAAACTGGAGTGTTACAGATCACAAGCAGGATAAGGAGCTGGTCAGGGAACTGAGATGTTTGCGAGAGAAAAAAACTTAAGGGGCTATAAGGCCACGACCTTCAGATTTCCCAAGCCAAAAGGAGCTCCAGGTTATTTGGGAGGGTAGGCCTAAAACGTAAAACCTACCAGAGAAGGTGGCATTTGGTCAAACACAACATGAGGAAGTTCTCACCCTGTACGCAGCAGGAGCCGTGGGACAAGGGCAACGCTCCATGGACGGAGGGAACAAGTTCCTGATCCCTCGGGCTGAGCCGGGGCAGCTGACCTCCACAGCCGGGACCCTCCAGGCTAGTCCTGCCTTGGGCAGGGCGTCGGAAGGCCACTTGGGAGATGTTTTCTTTAAAGTGGCACGTCATGTATGTCGTACGACTAACTCCCAAGTGCACGATTTGCAGCAGCCAAGAGCCTGAGAGGCTCACTCCCTGACTTGGCCTCGAGAGAGAGCAGAGCCTGAGGTTGGAGGGGCCGGGACTTGAGGGGTCTATCTTCTTCATCTCAGCAAAGTCATTTGTAGTCTGGTTGCTCCTGGGCCGTGGCTTTTTGCCGGCGCTTCTTTGCTGGTGAGCCCCACCCAAGGTCAGGGGACAGTCACTGCTCTGATAAATCTCTCCATCACGGGCCTGACCTGGAAGGGCTGTCCTTTCAAGCAGCACAGCAAGGACTGAGCAGTGCGGTCTGGGGGTGCTGCTCCGCTAAAGAGCTTGGCGGACAGGTGTCTCCTCCCGAGGCTGCGGAGAGCCTCCAGTGTGAGGCCCACGGGTGCCTCCCTGGCTGAGAAGCAGCCATTTCCCAGGGACTCCTCCTGCCCTCCTTGTTTGAGCTCCCAGGAAATCAATCCTCTCTTGCTTTCCCTGGTTCTTTCTCCGACCAGGGACTTGGAGGAACATTGGTTTGTTTCCACATGTTTTCTTACTAGTTGTGCAGCCTCCCTCCCTTCCCGTTCCCTCTCTGGGCTTCTGCTCTGTGACCCACCTTATCTTCTAGAAGTGCAGCAGAAGCTGTGTGACCATGTGCCAGCTGCCTAACCTCTCTGAACCACAAGGGCTTCATCAGGCAAATGGTGCTGTCCGTGCCCTCACTGCCCTGCCTGCCCCACAGGACAGCCATGGTGTTCAGACAGAATGTTCCAGAAGTGCGCCTGCTCCGGCCACTCTGACCCAGCCCTTCTCAATGCTTCCCCACAGGGACTGCATCATGCTCTGTTGCCTGAACAGCGGCACCAGCTTCGTGGCCGGCTTTGCCATCTTCTCAGTCCTGGGCTTCATGGCATACGAGCAGGGGGTGCCCATTGCCGAGGTGGCAGAGTCAGGTAAGTGCCAAAGGCGGTAGAGGCTTCAGGTGATGGTTACAATGAAAATATTATCTTCTTCTGGGTCAAGCCTCAGAAGATGGTCCCCCCCCATCCGTCCTGGGAATTACCTGGGAGGGAAACCTTGACACCTCCTCACTCCCAAATCCAAGACATCCCCAAGTTGTGTAGATTCTGCATCCTCAATGCCACTGTACTTACCTCCAGCACCACTGTCTTCCCACAGCCCAGACCACCATCACCACTCACCTGGATGATTGCAGGGACCTTTCACAGGCCTCCATGCCTCCACTATTGACCCCTCCATTCCATGTGCTACCCTGCAGAGTGATTTTTTTTTTTCCGACAATGCAAGTCTGAACATGTCCTTCTCTGATGAAAAGCCTGTCTTGGCCTCTTAGCTTGGCCTCTTAGTGCTGAGCTCATAGCATGGTCCCAAGGCCCTGTGCTGCCCAGCTCCTGCGGCCTCGCCAGCCTTACCCCACACTCCCTCTGCCCCACCTCAGTGGTCTGCTTTCACTTCAGTGACATAGCTCGCTCTCTCCCACCCCAGAGCCTTTGCATGTGCTGATCCCACTGCTGGAAGAGCCTCTCTCCCTTTCCCATTTCTAGATGCAGAATCACTATGAGGGTGACGTTCTTAGGTACAGATTGATGTGTGTTTGTATCAAATGCACTACAGGCAGGGTTATTGTTGCTGAGGTGATTGTGCACAATGGTGAATAACTCTTCCCTTGATTTACGTGGTGTTTGAATTATGGAGAAATTCAGTGTATATTTAAAAGTACAAAAATAGTTTGTGTTTACATGACAGCATTGGATTCTAATCTCAGATGAGTCTAAATAGGTTTTTCACCTGCAAAAATATCTGGTGGGACATTTTTCCAGAGCAGCACAGGGAGCCTAACCTCTCTGGCCTCCATTTACTCAATGCGAGTCATGCCGCCATTCATTGTGACACCCCCAAGCACCCCTGGGGCCACACTGCCTCTGTTGAGAACCCTGGACTGGGGTGAGGCTGTTTCTGTCTGGCTCGCACACCAAGCTAGGCAGGGTGGTGGGTGTGGACATCAGAGCAGGAAGCTGGTTGCTGAGCTTTGCTCCCTCACCACTTACGGCCCACCTTCCTCTGGATGTTGTATGTCAGAGATAGAAACAATCCCTGCTGAAATCAGGAGTCCAAGCTAGACCAGAGGATATTAATATGATCAAAGTTGTCAATCATCGAGTGCCTACTCCGGACAAGAGCTTTCTCATGCCATTGGCTCAGCCCTTCAAGGTGACAAGTCTGCCACCCCCTTTTTACAGATGAGGAAGCTGAGTCTCAGAGAAGTGAGGTCACTTACCTAAGATTACCCAAGCTCAAAGGGACAGACCTGGGGTTTAATCCAGGCCACCTGGCTCCAGAGCCCATGCTCTGACCATGCCACCTTCTGCCCGCTGTGGGCAGGGCACCTGGCCCTTTACAGAACATCCATGCTCTTTCCTCACATTGAACCACGGGGTAGCCCCACGGGGAGAGAACGTTGCTTTCTCTACGGGAGCTTTGCCTTCTCTGAGAACCCACTTCCTCCTCTGTAAAATGAACACCCTAATTCCTGCCTCAGGTGTTGAGTGAGATAGGATATCTACAGCACTGTCATTACTCTTTTTATCATTACAGTTGACCCTTACACATCATGGGCTTGAACTGTATGGGTTCACTTATAAGCAGATTTTTTTCAATATACAGCTGGCCTTGTGTATCCCTGGGTTTTGCATTTGCAGATTCAGCCAACCACAGATCGAAAACAATACTGTATATATGTTTTTTCAATTACAGTGGACATACAATTTCATATTAGTTTCAAGTGTACAACATAGTGATTAGACATTTGTATAACTTACTAATTGATCACCCTGATGAATCCAGTACCCTTCTGACACCATACAGTTATTACAATATTATTGACTCTGTTCCCTATACTGTACATCCCCATGACTGTGTTTACATCTGGCAATTTGTACATCTTAATCCCTTCATCTTTTTTGCCTATCCCCCTGACACTCCTCCTATCTAGCAACCATCAATTTGTTCTCTGTATCTGTGAGTTTGTTTCTCTTAGCATAATATCCTCTAGGTCCATCTATATTGTCACAAATGGCAAGATTTCATTCTTTTTTAGGGCTGAGTAATATCCCATTGTATATATGTACCAATATTTTTTATCCATTCATCTATCAGTGGACACTTAGGTTGCTTCCATACCTTGGCTATTGTAAATAGTGCTGCAGTGGACATAGGGGTGCATATATCTTTTTGAGTTAGTGTTTGGGATTTCTTCAGATAAATACCCAGGAGTGGAATTTCTGGGTCATAAGGTAGTTCTATTTTTAATTTTTTGAGGAACCTCTATACCGTTTTCCATAGTGGGTGCATTAATTTACAATCCCACCAACAGTGTATAAGGGTTTCCTTTTCTCTACATCCTCGACAACGCTTATTTTTTATTGATTTATTGACGATAAACATTCTGACAGGTATGAGGTGATATCTCACTATGGTTCTAATTTGCATTTCTTTGATGATTAGTGATGTTGAGCATCTTTTCATATGTCTGTTGGCCATCTGTATGT